CGACTAGCTTTCCTTGTTACCTTGTATGTACAGAAACACCTTGGCTTCCTCATGACTGACAATCAGCCTCTAGAAAGACCTAAAGTCAAGGTAACATTTTTTCATAAACTCTAATTGCAATTGTTTTATCTGGTGGTTTATATCACCAGTTAAAAAAATTCAGTAAAAACTAGACAAATCCATCTCATCACTGAAACAGAGAAACCACTGCCAGTTATTTGGAACGGCACAGATATTCCAGGCTTGTACGGAGACCCTCAGCAGAGCCAGGAAGTGTCATTCACAAACAAAAACAGTATGACATCATCACACACTTAATTGATCGCCAGTGACAGGGTCAACTTTGTTTGTATAACTGTTGAATATCGTACTGTTTGTGTGCATGTACTGATACTGCTACTCCAGGACTCTATGATGATTTGACAGCATTATCTTGAAAACAAACGTATTGCTACATGATTTTAATTCATTATTTTTGAAAGAGACTGGATTTTATAATTGCATCTACTTTTAAAAAAAAGAAGTGTTGAACATTCCTTTGCTGGTCTGCAGGCAATAGATGCCCTTCTGCTTTCAAGAGTATCGTCCTTAATGAGTGCTGAGTGTTGCTCAAGTGACCTTTTGGGGAATTAAGTGATCTGCTTCAATTCACAGGCCTTTTGGTGAGAGAATCACAGTTTTGGATAACATTAGTTTGAGATTCTCTTCTGGCATGTTTCAACAGAGATAGCCTGTCCTAATTTTAGTCGAAGTATTAACTGAACCCTCCACAAGTAGACCTCCAGATTAACAGCACTAACCAAGGAGCAAACACTTCCTCTTCTTTCTCCTGGAAAGCAGGGATCCACTCACAGTTCTTACCAAAACCAAAGTGAGGAGAAACTTTCAGAGTACCACTCAGCAAGTCGCTCTAGCTTCAGTACAGTTCTGGGACAACCACTGCTGTCGTTGCAGGCCTGACACACAGCAGGATCTAGTGCTACCTTGTTTGTACTAATTTTGCTATTCAGAATTCCCACTTGATAGAAAGCAAGTCAGAAGAATTCAAGGTACAAGTTTCCTATGTCAGTAAGGGATAGAAGGGCATACATCTACCTATATGCTGGGTTTCATGCTTTTACCAGACTTCAGATTTTAACCAATTTTTGTATCTGCCCCAGTTAAAGACAAAGACAAGTGTTTTGTTGAAGAGGCTGTCTCTTCTGATGTTGCATTCAAACTTTTAAACACATGCAGGGTGCTCACACCTGACCTGAAGTTGGCCACCCACTGCAAGGTTTGTTCAGCTGTCTGTTTAGCTTCAGTAGGAGCAAGAACAAGGTCAGCTGTATCTCATGAGGAATGAGAAAAGGCAGCCAAGAGGGTTTCCAGGGAAGATCGCCCTTTACCTCAATGCTTTTAAGAAAATGGGAATTGAACAATCAGCCTGAAATAGATGAATAAAACAGTTTTTTAAAAAAATGTTGAGGGTTAACCGGCAGAGCAAATCAAATACTATTTGTTTAGATTGTTATTAGTTAGTAACAGTACAGATTGCAAGTACGAATATGTAAAGCTCTGCATACCTTTTTCCAGTCCTAAAAGTTTGTCGACAATATGCCACCGAGAAAAACCATGCTCGATATAAACCCCTCCCAGTCTGACAGAAAGCAAATCACCTAATTACAATATACAGCAGCAGAACATTCAAACGTGGCCTTGAGCCGATTTACTGCATTCATTTTTTCTATGCTTTAGGGAATTGTATTAGTCTATTCACTTCATGTGATAGCAAATTGCTTGGATACCATGTCATGCACTGCCTTCAACATTGTACCTGCTGAAGACAGTCTTTAATTTACCTTCTTCTCTCCCTGTCAGAGGTAACCACTCTGCCTTAAATACAAGCTAATGCTGAAAAGCACTACATAACCACTAGCTATCACAGCAGAAAGAAGATGAAATCAACAAAATGAACTAGCACACTCCAAAAGAACAATCACCATCCCAAGACATTACGAAAGGTAGCCTTCAAAAGAAAATAAAAGTTTTTAGAGCTCAAGCTAATTAGAGGAAAGAAGATCACACAGTTCTTACAAAAGTCTGTCCCTGTTTATTCATATCCATTGAGTCAATGGAAAATAATGATAACAAATACTTCAACATGTTCTATTCAATTTCCTTATTCTTCATGCTTGCTAATGCAACGCAAATTCTTTCCACTCCAGTTTGTCTCAGAAAACTAACAAAATGACAAGTTTCCTTGGGGGAAGAGAGGGGAAGGAAGAAACAGGGTTGCTGAAGTATTGTAAGCAAGGATACCAGGAAACAAAAAGCACATGCTGCAGATACACAACAGATTTCCAAGAAAAGTGCAATTCTTGCACCACCGTTGCTAGTGAAGAGCGAGTTAATGCGGCACTTCAGGAGCTAAAGACTTAGCGTGTGACTTACAAGATCAGTTTTTCAGGTTTCTACACAGATTTATTTTTATCTTCTCATGCATAACCCAAAATGTGTAGCACTTCACTTTTAAGCAAATATGCAGGCATATTTTTGATATAAAAGGAATCTAAAATGTTCTCTTCCTTGGGTCATATTTGGGGCCAGATTCCAGCTAGCAGGTTGGTATTATCTGGTCAGCTATAACATTTGCTCAATGAGATCTTCAGAATTCTTGGAAAACTTATTTTAACTTTGGAAGCCTGATTTTAAAGACTATATGAAGTATTGCTTTTTTTAATTTAATTCAAGAGAACAATATGGGAGGGGTCACCTTTTTGAAGGGTGCTCCATTTGAAAGCAAACAATAAGGAGCAGAAAAGCCATTCTAAATCTTTACTTAATCGCTAAGAACCAAGAGCAATTGGCAGCTGGATCGAAAGTGCTGACGAACTATTCTCATTTGCTCTTTTCTTTCGCCTCCCTTTTCTTACAATCTGTAGGGAACAGCAGTCATTCAGAGCTGATTGAAGAAATCACAGACACAAGTTTGACAGTCAAGAAAGAGTAAAACTTCATTTTCTGAGATGGTGAATGAGGGGAACAAGCACAATAGACGGCAAAATCAGCTCGAGATGCAGCAGAAAGTATGGGTGCACTTTACAGCCTACTGCTTATAGGGTTTATAGATACACTGTTCCTATAGGACACACTGATGTTCAAACAAGGATCAAGAGAGCCTCCTCATGTTTTTTGTTTTAAACTAGGTTCAATTCAGACCAAATGAATAGGAATCAAAACATATCCAACATGTTTTTTCATATGCTGTGATCACCTGTCCTGCTTTCAGGGGTTGTTCCAGAGAAGAACAAGCACTAGGAGACCTGCTACAAAGCAGATGCATTGGTAATTTCACCCAGTGTCAACACCTAGAGCTTAGGAAACTGTTTATCTCTGACTTGCACTGGGACCAAAACACACTGGCAAGGCAGTAAGTTTTTATTACTAGTCTGAACTACAGTAATCAGTTGCACACACAGAAAGAAAACTTCACAGAAGTCTTATTGAGCATAATACCATGGAGCTGACTTGGAGTGCGACTCTTCTGTGATGAATTAGTCACTATAAGAGCTGGCAAGTTCATTGTAATTTAATTGCTGTCACTGCGGCAGTAGGGTTAATACCCGGTGTGACAGCTGATCTGTCTTTTTGAAAGTCTATGATTATTCTCTCAGAACCAACAAAGAAAGGTGTTTTTGTTAGAATTACAGAGTTTTAGCATGTCTTCCTATCTGTCAGTTATCTTCTCAAACACGGGTGTACCAATCTGCACCATTTATGATTTGGTTTGGTTTTTTTCTATATATCTTCTTTGCATTGTGCTAACGCAAAGAGTTATAACTCAGGAATTTTTGTCATGAAGCTCAGCTCTGTGACAAAAAAGTAATTTTACGAACCAACATTCAGAAAGGAAGATTTTTCAGGCCCCGGAACCAGTATGCAACAATTTTAAGGGTCTGAGTCAGTTCTGAACCAGGGACCTTCAATAATGTTCCTCCAACCCCCCGTAACAGTAATATCACCACACCTTTTATTTCAAACTGTATGCTCAGTGTTTGCCTTTTTAATCACAGACTTACTTTACACCTGTGTTAATGCAGAAACCTTTCCTCACCTTTAACGTGGCAGCCAAGCTGGCCATGTGTTCATTCAGAGTGCTCTCGGACTCCTTGTAAGTCAGGCAGGTGAACTGATATTCCTCTGGATCAAAGGCATCTGCTCCCTGCTGCTCCACGTCGTTAGCTACCCCATCATAATAATCCTCAATATCCCCAGGATCCTCATCCTCTTCCTCCTCCTCGCAATTAGGGTCATAATCCTCTTCATTGCTGTCAGAGCCCTGGCTGTTCATGTCCACGGACATCTTAATGCCCTGTGCAGACCAGGAAAGCAATTGCAGCTCCTTTTTCTCCTCCAAACTTTATCGTTCTTTCGATTTCATCTGAGCTCTGTCTCCTAAGGGGGGAAAAACAATTTTTTCTGTTGCCTAAGAAATTGTAAGAGAGGCCACATCAACATCATACAGGTGATCAAACAGCCAGGAGTGGACCGACCCAAAGGCCCAGCTAAAGAAGATTCTGCTGTGCAGATGCCTGGTTTGGATCCACTGTGACTCTTGCACCTGCAAAGCCAAGTCTGCTCTTACAGGCGAGGTCCAAAACCTGGGAGACTGGCTTACTACACTGCACCCTAGCCCCCAGACTTTTGACATTTGGAAAGTGGCTCCATAACCTTCGCTACAGACCTTTTCAGAGATACAATTAGATTTATGACATGAAGTTTTTACCAACAGCCTGAAGTGCTGCAGAAAAGCATCATATCCTTTTCAACAACAGGAATAAAAAACACAAACCCCTTAACTATGACCACAGTAGCTAGAAAGGCAACCTGTGATACCCTGCACAAGTCCAGATGGCTTCAGAACCACAGCTGTTAAGTGAGACTTTGGAAAATAGGACACGCAAACAGATCTCTCACATACACCCAATTTAACCATCTTCAACACAGTCTCAAACGAAATGGTGAAACTAGTTAATCCCTTCAGGTAGGTTCTACTGGATGTGATGTGGCTTGGGCCTTACATCTGAGGGAAGAAATAAAAGAAAATCTCTCATTTTATTACCTTCTCAATATACACTTATGACCTTCCAAATGTGGAAATTTATGCTCAAGTTTGACAGCCTCTATTCAAGAAGAATCAGAATGCCAATTTTTTTTTTATTTTAGATTCTCACTGGTATTGGAAAAATCACATATTTGACTTTACTTATCAGAACTACAAGCCTTCTGCTTGTGCA